CCCTAATATCAGGTATGACTTGAATTCCGGTAACTCCATAAAATTTTGGGAACAAACCTGGGTGGGGAGCGCCCTTTAAAGGATCAATCTCCTTCTTTGTATGCTCTTTCTGATTTGAAAAATGAGCCGATCTCGTCTTTCATCACCCCGTCCTCTTCCACTTTTGGGATTGGGTGGAACTTGGGTCTAAGAAGGGATTTGAGGGACTTAAGACCTCGACAGTATTTCGAGCCGTATTGCACTTCTTGATAACATTGTCTTAGACCCCACTAGGGCGGATTCTAGAATTTGGACACCTACCCCCAATGGCATCTTCTCTTGTGCTTCTTTCTTTAAAGTCTTAAGTCAGTCCACCAGTCTTACCTTCCCCCCTTTCCCTGTTGGTGAGGTTTGGTGCAGAGCAATACCTCCTAGGGTTGGTAGTTTCTGTTGGGAAGCCTATTTGGAAAGAATCAACACTGGTGATCTACTCCAAAGGAAGAGACCCAATACTTGCTTGTCACCTCAGTGGTGTGTTCTATGTAAAACGGATGGGGAGATTGGTTTTCACCTACTGGTGTCTTGCCACTTTGCGAGGTCAATTTGGGATTGGGCTTCCTCTTTATTTGGATGCAGTTGGAATCCCCCATCAGACTTGCAAGGCCTTTTCTCCCCTACCTTTTTCAGGTGGCGGATAAAAAGGGGAAGGATAATGTGGAGAKGACTAAGGGCTGCAGTAWGTTGGACATTGTGGGAGGAAAGAAACTCCAGGATATTCTCAGAAACCCAAAGAGGAGCAGCAGATCTGAGGGCTATCATACATATTAGGGCAGTACAGTGGCTGAAATATTTGGAACTATTCACAGGTTACATTGGGATGACATGTTGAGGAAGTGGGGTGAAATTGCAAATTGCACACAGACCAAGTTAGTAATGAATGTGGCTTGGACTCCCCCACCTAGTGGATTCTTGAAATTAAACTTTGAAGGATGCAATAGGGGAAATCCGGGGCAATCGAGGATTGGAGGTGTTTTTAGGGACGAAAATGGGGTCATCTCTGCCATGTTCTCAGGCCCAATTGAAGTGGGTGACTCCCTTAGAGCTGAGATCTTTGCAGTTATGGAAGGAGTCCRGAAAGCTAAGGAGTTGAACATCAAGAAACTCACAATTGAAGGGGATTCAGAGGTGGTGATAGGGTGGCTGACTAAAGATCAAAATGGTTTATGGAAGTACAGCAATGAAAGGAGAAAATTCATGTGGTTGGTGCGGGAGATGGAAGTTAAGACATGTTGGGTTAAAAGATCGGCTAATTCCCTAGCTGACGGTTTAGCTAAACAAGGGGCAGAAAGGGATTCACTGTTTTGGGCTAAGCTGTAACTTTAGTGTCTTCTTTTCTCTTTTTCTTCTTTTTTTCCTTTTATGAGGCTTTTTGTGGCTCTTGGAAGATAAAAGTGTGTTTGTCTTCCTCCTGTAAAATTTCTACTGATGATTTAATGAAAGTGTTATTGATCAAAAAAAAAAAATACAACCTGTAAATTTTTAATTGCTATAAGTGTGCCCATGGGTTTCCTAAGAAATAATATCCCATAAAGGCAGGAAATGTACAACCGAAGCATGGCTACAATCAGTATTCAGTAAGAAGCGCACAGCTCCAACAGGGAGGCAAAATTCTTGACGGGAAGTTATGGCTAGTTTTAGATGGATTGCAACGAGGAAAAATGCTGTTGCTGATTTTTTCCCTGATTTGTGGTGGGGGGAGAGATTGTGCTGCAGTTTTGTGATACCTGAACACCTCTACATGTTTAGCATGTCTATGTTGGACACCATACACACTTGATATGAGCCTCAGTGCTGCATTAAAACTTTATGGAATATTCTTTGAAAAAGTTGTATACCTTATATGTTTAACCATAGGTGGCAAGATACAAGTATTGAGAACTGATACTTGATTAAAAGAATAAAAATAAAATCATGGTATCAGCATATTAAATGGGACATTCATACCCATGTTGTTTCTTGGATCTCAAGAAGTGAAGTATAAGCTTATTTCCTGTGCCATTTTCATGATTGTACCCATATTTTGGTACCTTACACAACAGTATTATGCAATTATAAAGCTTTCTAGGGGTTTTCATTTTGTCTATAAGGCCCCACATTTTTATCATTATTGTTAATAAGCAACACTGAATAGAATATTATTGCATGAAATAGTTTCCTTACCGTCTACTAAGATACAAGAAAAAAAGAACAGCAATTTTGCTAACAACAGTTAATGTTAAAATGATTTAAATGTTTACAATTCACCTGCTGGCCCTAGTGTTCCTCATGCAATGTTGTTTCTTTTAACCTCTGTTCTAGTTAGAAAGTCTACCAAGCTGTTGGCTGCTCTATGAGTCAACCCAAATGAGTATTGAATAATTCAGGCTAGTAGCTAGAGCTCTTGCTTCTCTAACTAGAAACACCCTATATTTTTGCAAATGCTCTAAAGCTTTTCTCTTTCACCTTCTAATTAAATTCTTCATTCCCCTATTTCTTAGGCCTTCTTGATCTCTTTTCTCATTTTTGCATGCTCCATGTATACTCTTCCCTGTTCCCTTTATTATATTTTTTTAGAACTCTTAGCATGGTTGGTTAAACATGCATAACATGTCCACATTATTTGCTTATGCATATTCCATCAGCAACATTAAACAACACTTTTGTTAAGAGTAGTAACGAAACCCTGGCATTCCAGAAACATTCAAAATGAAAGTGTCAGCACAACAGCCAAAGGATGACACATAGCAGGCCATTAAAAATTATATAACTTGTATATTTTGTTCTTAGAATTAATAAAATTCTGGAATTTTACTGATAAAAAAGGCAATCAATCCACCCCAACTTTACACAATAGTCCCAGTCCAGGTGCTTCTGCTAACTCATCATTATTAACTCTATTCTTAGCTGTAGTCTACCATATTATTTGGAAATCTGGGTACCCACCTGAATGATCATTTCCTTTTGGCAGAAAGTATTTTTTGCTTATCTAATCTGGAATTTATAGGGCCATGGGTCTTCCATGTTAGCTGCCTGATACCACTTAGCATTTGACAATCATCCTCCACAATTAAATCATTCCAATGTACTATGGGGGGGGGGGTGCGTGTGTATATGGGTGTGTACATTTCTATCATGTTGAAGAACACAATGAGGTGAGTTGAGACTTGAGACTAGTGCAGCTGATGAAGATTGGTACTTAGAACAAGCAATCATGAACTGGTTCTTGTCAGTGTTTCTTGGACACTCCTAAGTGGAGGAGTATCCTTGTTGGACATCTGTCAGATTCTGGTACTCCATGTATTCTTGAAGGACACAAGCATAAAATTTAACTTTATCTACTTGCATATTTGACTTAAATGAAAAACTAATATTCTCAATGCATACAATTCATATTAAGCATCAAATATAAAGTTTTAGACCCTTATAACAGGTATATAAAGCTAGAACTTATAACAATTGGACAACTTTTTTTTAGTTTATGCTATTCTATAAACACACCCACTTGGTTCTGTTTTTCTTCTTCCCGAGTCAGACTCCTAGGTATGTGCCAGGTTCTGATTCCCATGTATGTATGTGCTGTTTCTTGTTACCATCTGGTAAATTTGGCTAAGGGTTTTATTGGTTGGTTTTTGAATAATTCTTGAAAGAAAATTGTATATGCATTATTGGTAAAACAAGTTCATTCCTGGAATAATCTGGTTAAGTCAATGCTTCAGTCTTTTTCAATTTGACCAGCAGCCTATTTGGTGTTCAAGCATTGTGTAAACATTGTGAGACATAGTACGGATGTCCTTAGCATCACTTAGGATATTGAGTTCATAGTTTGCCTTTCTGTTTTCTGATTGACCATACATTTTTAGTTCCTTGATAACAGTAAAAAAAATTCAATCCCTTCCCCTTAGTTATGTCATAAAGAATTGGTATCTGTTCCTTTTTAATTTGTTGTATTAGTAAGCTCAGAGTTGGTATTTGGTTAATTTGTGAAGGCTTGTTAATGGTCTTATCGAGAAAACACGCAAGAAAACAGAGGTTTCCATTGGTGAAGCTGCAGATGCAATTGGCATACCACGTATGCTGATCGATATTCGTCATGGTACCTTTTCATTTGCTTTCTCTATTTATTGGCCTTTCTGTCACAAATGCCTTTTGTCTTTTATCCTGGCTCTTTGAGAGTGTTAATATGTCCTTGATCACATTTCAATATTTTTAGAGGGTTCACATCGTGATCTCCCTTCACTTCAGCTGGTCCGCCATGCCTCCATGAAGGTAAGGTATTTTTCAAACTGCATACAGTTTATCAATTTCCTTATTCCTTATATTACCAAAAGCTAATGAGAGTATAGTACTTTATGTTCAGACATCAAACTTTGGCAAAATTTTTAGGACTCTAGTAATCCTCTGGATTGCACATTCACTATCTTGCTAGTTTTGAACCAGTCCATACCTATCATTTCAAATGACATAAAATGAATTGGTTGATATCATGTAATCTAGGGTATGTGGTGCTTACAGTTATTCAGAGTTTCCCTCCTTTTCTCTTTTGTGAATCTCAAAATGTATTAAATAAACCATTTTACTTATCAAAAATAAACAAATTAAACTATTATATCATTTGTTTTCTCTGTTTGACAATTTCAGGCACTTGATTGGCTGAAATCATACTACTGGGAGCCTCAAAAGAATGCAATTCCAATTCAAAGGAATGGAGTTAGTGTCAGGAAAGAAATCAAGTCTAAACTTCGAGAGTTAGCCTTTTATATTAGCGTTAGGCAGGCTCAACAATCCAGTTTGTCACTAATCAAGGGGAAACGTAAGTTAAGAAGTTGTTTTATTCATGAATTGTTCAAAAAGGTAATTAGAATGATAGATTACATGATTTTATGGTAAAATGTTGTATTTTTTACATCCTTTTGCATGATTTTATCAGTATTATGTTATAATAACCGTATGGAAGACATCGGGACATTGAAGCCAAGGTTTTAAAAGGCTAAATGCATAGCTGAGGCATAACTCCCCAAAAGGTGAGGTGTAGGCCTCAAGAAGTAGCAAGGCTTAAGCCTCAAATATTAAGGAAAAAACTAATTAAAGTTTTAAATGATAAAAATAACTTATGATATACTAAGAATGATAGAGGTACAAATATCCATAAATTTGAAGTTTATAAAGCAATAAGTCCTAGGCTTTTTATGTTCAACAAAATAATAACTGAGCAGCTAAAAATCATAAACCTTTTACATTTCAAGTTTCAAATTCCAAAAGTTCTCAAATTATTCAAATGACCAATCATAATGTTTTGGATTATAAAAAGTTCTCCATCATCAAAATTGTTTTCAGTGATGGGATCATATGATGAACCAATCATATAAATGATATTAGATTTCTGGTCACCCAACATTTTAGAATAAAGGAAATAACTTCTATGCAAAAAAAAAAAATCAATCAAAAAAAATAAATCCATTGGGTAATGCATTTTTTATGTAATATCCACATAAAAAACTTAAGATGTGAAGAGAGGTCCCATGTGATGGGAGAGTTTGTGGAGGTAGGCCATTGGAAAAAAGCTTTGAAGATTGGAACTAATGAGCTTCTATTTGAGGAACTGAGATTAAATGGTCAGCTGAGCTTGAAAATCAGGGAGCAAAGAGAGGGATGGTTCTGTTAGAAGGTTTGGGGGTAATTGAAAGGTTCAAGGAGTTTTTGGAAGGTGCAAGTAACAAAGGCAAGCAAAATAGCTGGAAAGAGTTTCTCTCAGAAACTGGAAGAAGGTTTGCTGTAGAGTGTAAGAGAAAAAGGTTCTTTTATTTCTTTGACAGAATTTTTGGCAAGGGTAAGAAGCAGATGGTCTGTTTCCCAGAGGGAAGGAAGAGTCAGGGCTGGAAGGCAGTTCATGGGGTCTTATGTGAACTGCTGCAACATTTGGGTGCTAAAAGAAGAGTAACAGTAAAAAGGAAGATAAGCAGTTCTACTAGTTCGGTGAGCAATAATAAGCAAGAGACTCTTATAGTGACAGCTGGGGCAGGTAAATACAGAATGGGAGTAAACATACAGAGAGGAGATTGGGAAAGTAAACTGATAGTTAAAGCTTCAGCTCACATTCTAGACTGGAGGAAAGTYGCAGATCTGTTAACAGCAAGCTTGAAGTTGAAGAGTACGTTTATTTTAACACCTTTTGAGAAAGACAAGGCTTTGCTGGACTTGCTTGAGAATAGAGTAGAAATTGAGGCATTAAATATCCAAGCTGAACTTGGAAATCTCACATTATCAAGATGGTGTCCGGGATCAAACTCCAAAGATTTCTTTGTTGAAGATGGAGTTCTGGTGCGTCTCTTAGGCCTTCCCTTTCACTTGTAGAAGCAAGAAACTGCTGAAGCCATTGCTCTGATGTGTGGAGGATCACTAGGGGGTGTCTTTTGGGGAGACCTTTTTCAGCTTCCATTTTATTGAATGGAGTAAAACCTGAGGAGATTCCTTAGAAGATAGAGGTGCTAGTTGAAGGACAATGTTACTTGGTGTGGCTGGCTTCATCCGTTGAATCTGTGCTTTGGAAAGAGGCTCATAGGGAGGGAGATGAGAAGGTTGAAGAAGAACTGCGTGGCAAGAAAGGATTGGATGATTCAAACAAGAAAAGCACTTTCACTAAAATGGAAAAACAAATGCTGGAGAAACAAAAAGGTAGCATTCAGGGGGTGGGTCATATGCGTGTGGAAGCAGTGAACAGTCTGGAGGGTGGCAAGTCTTTTGCACAGGTTGTAACTGGCGCCAATCTGGCTTTCTTAACCAAGGAAAAGGGGTTGGTCCATGGAAGAACTGAACCTAGACCTGATAAAACCAAACCGAGCCTGGGGTTGGACGTGTGTGACCCTTTTAAAAGTCACGTGAAGTCGCAATTTATTAAGAATGGGCCAAAGCCAAAGCCCATGTGGAATGATACTATTGTTAATAAAGGCCCAAATGGATCAACGTGCCCGACCCAGTCATTTTAAAAGGCGCGTGAGCCTTTAAAGAGTCACGTGACTAGGGTTATTACTAAGGTAGACGACAAAAACCGTCTATTGTCGTCTTCCTCATGCTCTTCGATTTCTGAGAAGAGTTCTTCCCAGGCCGCTGTTTCGAAGATGCCTTCTCAGTCGACTAGCTCTCTACAGTGGCGTCCAATGAAAAGAGCTCAGCGACTTTCTCCTGATCGTCGTAATCCGCGCTCTGTCAAAAGCAGCAATCCTGAGAAATGTAACTTTGAATCTCTCGTCTGATGAGGAGGATGGCTATGTTTCAGATTCTGAAACTGAGGATACTTTGAGCCTTGGCAGCATCGACCTCTCTCAAACAAAGGACCCCTATGAAGATGACAGTCTAAACACTGAAGTGTTGTTCCTAGAGGAAGACGGTTGTGGCTCTTTGTTAGGATTTCAAGCAGCAGCTCCCTCTCCCCCGCCAGGATGTACTTCACATAAGGTTTGTTTGGGTTCAACAGCTGTTACGGAAGTTGCACGGGGGACATCTACTCCAACAAACAAATCCACTTGTGGACTGCAACATGCTCAGTTTATCTATCTAGGGGATCAGAACTCATTACTGTCGTTCCACACAGAATCACCGGTTAGAGGGCAACCCTCAAAGGTAGCTTCGGCTGCATTGGTTAATACAGATTTGATTGAACCTAAACAACTTCCAAAGATCAATCAATCAGGGGAACCAGACCTAGATTCGATACCTCTGATAGCACATTCTGCTCCTGTTCCCACTCTGCCAGTTCCCTTTGAGTCAGGTACGCCTGTGGATTTGTTTTCTGGTACTAACAAGGGTCCTATGCCTGCAACAGGTACTTCGGCCTCTCAGCCAGAAGGAATGGCCAAAAGAGGGGAGAGTGGGAATGTGGCTAAGGGTTGTGGAGAAGAGGAGGGGGAGTCTTTATCAAAAAGGAAGCATGAAGAAGAATTAGAGAGAATATGGGAGCGGATTTGTGCTCTCTTGGAGGATTATAAAGAGAAAGAAGAGCAAATGGAGGTTACCCCTACAAAATTGGAACAGGAGGGGAATAGAGAGACTTTAGAAGTGATGGAGTAGATAAAAGTAGGAAAAAAAAAAGAAAAGATCAGAGGTGGAAAGGCTAATCTCAGATATTGAGGGTGATATTGAGTTTAATGGCCGAGGGGAGAGAAGAAAGGGTCTCAAGTAAAGGGGGGTAAGGGTGTTTGGGAGGGAGTTCTACTATTTCCTAATGAAAATCATAAGCTAGAATGTGAGGAGCTTAGGAAGTGCAAGGAAGAAAAGACTAATAAAAGAGATGCTTAGAAGGGAAAGGCCTGATGTGGTTATGCTACAAGAGACAAAATTAGAAGGGATGGATAGAAGGTGGGCTAGAAGTGTGTGGAAATCAAGAGGGATTAGTTGGGCTTCAACTCCATCTTGGGGAGCTTCAGGGGTATAATTACCTTGTGGAAAGATGTGGTAGAAGCAGTTGAGGAATTAGTAGGTAACTTCTCTGTGTGTTTGAAATTCAAAATGGTGGAGGGTGATTTTACTTGGTTGCTAACCAATGTGTATGGGCCCATTAATTACAGAGAGAGGAATGAATTGTGGGAGGAGTTGTATGGCATTCAAGGGTTATGGGAAGGTCCTTGGTGCTTAGGTGGAGATTTCAATGTTATTCGGTTCACAACAGAGTCAAATAACCCTCATCAATCCATCACTACTAGCATGAGGAAATTCAATGATTTTATTAACTCTTGTGAGCTGAAGGAGATTCCTCTTTTGCAAGCCAATTTTACCTGGTCCAACTTTCAGGAGAACCTAACATGTTCGAAGCTAGATAGATTCTTGTTCAATGAAGTCTAGGAGAATCAATGGAGGGGGTTCATGGCTAAAGGGTTACCTAGAGTTACTTCGGATCACTGCCCAATTCAGTTAGGAGAGGAACCATTAGACTCTGGACCTAGACCCTTTAGATTTGAGAATATGTGGTTGACTCACCCAGACTTTGTAAAAAATATTGAGAGCTGGTGGAGTGAAGAGCTAAGGGGGGTGAAGTGGAAAGGAGTTAGTTTTCATAGAAAACTAAGGAACTTGAGGACAAAATTGAAAGTCTGGAACAGGGACCAATTTGGGAGGTTAGAGGATTTAAAATCTTCCTTATTGACTCAAATTGAAGAATTGGACAAAAAGGAATCCCAAAGGACTTTAAATGCACAAGAACGGGAGTTGAGATGGAATTTAAAGAAGGAATTAGAAGAGGTCCTACTACGAGAAGAGATTTTATGGAGGCAAAAATCAAGGTTTAAATGGATCAAGGAGATGGGAACACAAAATTTTTTCATGCGATGGCCAATGGGAGGAGGAAAAATTTTGTAGGACAACTTGAGATTGATGAAGAGGAAATCTCCTCTCAAGAAGAGATAGCCAGATGCTTTGTAGATCATTTTAAGTCAAAAGGAAATCTCCTTTTTCTGCAGCCATTTGGAATTGGGTATTTGATTTGTTTGAGTGTAGGTGGAACTTGCCAGCTAAGTAAATCTGTTGTTTTCCCCTTCTACCTTTGTGTGGATTACAAGAAGAGGGAGAGTCATGTTGAAGTGTACAAGAACAGCTCTCCTTTGGACTATTTGGGAAGAGAGAAATTCCAAAATTTTTCAGGAGAAGGAAAGAAGCATTCTTGAGGCCAAAGAGTGTATTGTTACAAGCACTATTTTGTGGCTGAAATCCTTAAAGCTCTTTGAAGATTATTCCTTTGAGGATTTAATGAGGAATTGGTCAGTTGTTGCCCTCACTTCCTCCATGAAGCCTAGAGTCCAAGTAACTTGGACTCCGCTCGCT